CTTGCGTAATTGGCAAAGAGACGCAATTGAGAGACGCTGTGATTGGTTGGCACGGGAGAATGTGAGGCCGAGGCGGAGCTTTCCGGTTGCTTGACGCGGGAGCGAGGGCGCACCCTTGAAGATGTGCTGATGGAAGCTGGATTCTAGACTTTTGCTGCGATTCAGCGGATTGGAGCTTTCCCGTCACCAGTCATTGACTTACTTTGAGTTGGGATTGTTAGCTGGGATGTTATGTGAAGATATAAGAGTGATCTCAAGTTTGGACTTATCTTATCTTTGTCTACTTACAGAGAATGCGCTGATGCAGGAACGCTAGCGCCCTGAAAATCGGAGGAGCCCCGCCAAAAAAACCCCCGCTGAAGCTCCCGCACGGGCCAGCCTGGATGGAAACTTGTGATGTCAAGCAGCTCCCACACAGCAGTGTGTGGGCGCGTCCAGAACAATTCCACGCGACTCGTTGATTCTCCATCCAACTTGCACCTTGCACGTCGAAACCGCTCCGTCACCAACGACCACCACAACTTATACCAGCATCCCCTCGATGACCGTCACATAGACCAGCATGTCGATTCCGGGTCTGGGCCAGCTGGCAGCGCCGGTACGGGCCCTTTTCACACACCCTCTCTTTGAAGCCTGAATGCAAAAGCACGAACCCATACTGACGGAGGCAACACCACGAACAGCAGCCGGCCAACGCATCCCAAACCCGCACAATCAGACTCCAGCCCTTTTGGGAATGGCGCTTCGAGGTCTCCTTCGGCACCGACCTCACCTTCAAACTCCTCTCCGGCACCGCAGAGAAGGACGGCACCGAGCTGGCCCTGCACCACCTCTACACCTTCTCCGGCACGAAGTCCAAGATCCTCACGCTGCAAGGATGCGAGTTCGAGATCGAGGGCAGCAGCCCCGCCGCCGAGTTCCTCGCCGAGTACCACCAACCGCAAGACAACCCCGCGAACGCGTACCTGAACCTGCACTTCCAGCTCACCGCCATGCGCCAGCGCGCGGCCGCTGAGCGCCGCGAGGGCCCCCGCATCGCCGTCTGCGGCGCCCCGACGGCGGGCAAGACGACGCTGTGCAGGACGCTGGCGAGCTACGCGACGAGGGTCGGCGCGCAGCCGATCGTGGTGAACACAGACCCCAAGGAGGGCATGCTGAGCCTGCCGGGGACGTTGAGCGCTGCTGTCGTGGGGAGCGTGCTGGACGTCGAGGCTGTTGATGGGTGGGGGACCACGCCGACGAGCGGGCCGAGTCAGGTGCCGGTCAAGCTGCCGCTGGTCTACTACTACGGACACGCGAGGGCGGAGGAGGATCCGACAAAATACAAGCAGCTCGTCAGCAAGATGGCGGCTACTGTTACCTCGCGGTTCGCGCAGGATACCGAGGCTAAGAGCGCGGGAATGATTATCGATACGTTTGGGATCAGTGAGAAGAGCACGTCCGGCTTGGATTCGTTTGCTCATGTCGTGGAGGAGTTGTCAGGTATGCAAAGAAGAGACGTGACACGGGGTGTGTTATGGATCGAGCTAACGGTACCCAGCGAACATCATCATTGTGTTGGGATCGGCTACGTTGAATGCAGAGATCCAACAGAGGTTTGCGTCCGAGAAGACGAGCCTGGGCGAGCCGTACAGCATTGTGCTCCTCGAAAAGTCTGAAGGTGTAGCCGAGAGAGATGAGGGATTCATGCAGCAAGTCTGCGAGGCATCGATCAAGGAGTACTTTTTCGGCACAGTCGGGCGGACGTTGAGTCCTGCGACGCAGCAAGTCGACTTTGATAGCCTTACGATATACCGTCTAGGCGACAGTGAGTCTGCTTCAAAGCCGTCCTTGATGCAAGCTTTACTGACTCTTTGCAGATTCTACCTACGGTGGCACGGACGACGGCCTCACGCGGGTGGACTCGTCCCAGCTAATGGCGCATTGGACGCTGCCCGTCGTGTACGCCTCAGTTAGGGACAGCCCCGAAACGATTCGGACGTCGAATATCATGGGCTACGTCTACGTTGCCGACATTGACAAGGAGAAGCGCAAGTTGAGAATTCTGGCGCCAGTGGGTGGACGTCTAGGAGACCGGCCGCTGTTGATGGGCAAGTGGCCTGAGCCGTACATTAACTTGTTAGGATGAGATAGAAATGATACCACGACTTCTTTTTTTTTAAAGCGCACCACGGAAGGATCAGTCACACTGCCCTTTCGGAGTTCCGGCGACTTTGGAGTCACCAACTGAGGCGAAGGGAATCCATCTCTACGACCCTGTGCCCAGGTGCCTGAAGCAGCCTGCCGTGGCGATGTCAGCAATGATGACTGAACCAAAGCAGGGATCCAGGGATGAGCGACAGAGAGCGACAGAGACCCTGAGTCTCGTAAGGCTGGGTGTCGCATTCCAAGGACGTGTGATGCGACGGAAATCAGGGGGTGTCAGCACTACTCTGTACGAGCTTTCCAATCAAGCGGGATGCGAAGAGTCATGTCTCTCTCTCTACAGTGTCGAGAGAACAAAGGAAACAGTTCTTCTTCTCTCCCAAAGTCCTGGGAGCTGGAAGATCTTGGTGTAACGTGATGGGCGAAAAGAAATGCATGCGATTCGATGCAGCTACGCGCGATGCTGCCTGGCCAGTCCAGGCGGGCCCCTCCATGATGCACCCCACCATCCCCATTCCCAGCACCGCCGCCTTGGGTAAAGTACTGTAAGCCTGGAGCGAGTCTGAGTGGGTGGTGATCGGCCGCTGGGAATGACCCAGAAAAAGACCAGAGTGTGTGACATTGGAACCCTACGTCAGCTTACTACAGGATTCCACCGAACTGGATATTCCAGGCACCACTAGGCTGATAGCGACATTATCTGTCAGTGTCTGTCACGGCCGAAACTCCAAGAGACGGAGAGAGGCAGCAACTTTTTTTGTTCTCTCCCGCCGTCGGACTTTCCACCGGTCTGCCGTGCCTCTCCGTGCCTCTCCGGCATCGCTAGCCCACGGCTCTTGAGACAATGTCTTTATCTCATCGTTTCGCCTCCCCCGCCCGCGCGGCGATAGGCGAAATCCCCCGTTTAGGCAAACCGAAGCGGCGCAAGAGGCGCGGAAAGCCAAGCGACACGGAGACGACGCCGCGACATTTGAAGGATGGAATGATGACCCCGACGAAGCCAATGAGGACGCCGAGGGCCGCACACCACTCACTACACACCACAAGCGCTCGCCAGGTCCTCGTAAGGCTGAGCGGCCGGTGAGTCGGGATGGAGCCGTTATTGATTGTCGACAGGGAGGCGGAGGAGGGGTAGGTAGGGACCCGATTCCTTCTTCAGCGGCAGCATCGCCTCGCTCCCAATGGCGTTTCTCGGGCACTCGCTCGTCATCCACTTTCTCACTTATCCGCTCTCTGTTTCTGGGCGCAACAGTGTTCCCCACGTGCACTCACACTCACCGGAAACGGCCCCCAGCAAGCCTCATTTATCGACTTTTGTTTTTTTTCCGGCTCGGGGCTGTCAAAAGATGGCTTGAGCCGCAGCACCGGCAGGCAGCGAAAACGGTTCCCCCGGCCGGTAGCCCAGGCGTCAGGACGATGTCAACGGGGAAAAGGCGCATGGTGGTTGTGGGAATTTGGGAATCAGACCCCGGCGAGTGAAACCCCACTCCTCCATCTTTCTCATCCTCATCGCAAGGGTCAAGTTAGCTGAGGAATCATTCGCAGTGCCAACGCTGCCTATGAGCGAGAGGGGACTGCTTCGTGTGTTTCCTCATTAGGAAAATGCACTCCCCATCCCACCCTACTACCAAGGCCTCTCTCTCAATAGCCTTGCGCTCTATCAAAAAACCCAAGAAAGTCGTGCCGCAGTGGAATCCGGAGCTAGGCACCTGTTCCATCATCGCCTCCACACCCGCGCGCTGGCCGTGGCAGGGGGACGGAGGGGAGGGAAGGGTGTGTGTAACGCAGCCTTGCGACCAATGGGGCTCCACGGCCGCCATCTCGACATTTCTCTCACTCTCGCAGGAGGATGAGGCTTTCCTGGCCAATTGGCTTTGTGACGAGGAACCAACAGCGTTTTTCTTGCGTGCGAGACAGCCCAAAAACGATAATTACGTCCGTAAACAGTGTAGGCCCAACCACAAACCCACACACATTCTACATTCTCGGTGTGATTGCCTTCTTTTCGAAAAGGTACCTGGATCCTCCTGGCCACTGGTTTCCTGCTTCGCAACGGCGCAAGTTCTCTCGGCCGTCCTTTTGTTCTTCATCGGCTGAGCCGTACGGAAGGACCCTCCACCTCCACCATACATACGCCTCACACGCACCTTGAGTCACAGACCCTCAAATCCTGACTACCTACCTACCTGCCTCAGCTCATGTATCTTCTTCTTGCTTGAGGCCACTTTGGAGAGATAGGCCTACTGCCCGAGTTACCGAAGCTGCGAAGGTTTGTGATGGGACTCCGCTAAGATACGCCTGGTGCCGCGCCGTGGCTGGCTGGACCATGTGGATGTGGCATGGGGGAGGAGGGTGGCCGGGGGCAGAGGCGCTCCTCCCGATCGTTCACACAACGACGCAGTTACCGTTTACGGCAAACGCATATCTACCACTAGGAAGAGTCTGGTACGTGGAGGAGTCGTCCAAGATGTGATGGCCCCCAAATATCACATCCTATCTAGACCAAGACGAGCGATGATGGTGCCGGGAATGGGCGGAGGAACACTGTCACTGGCACTGATGCTAACACTGCCTCCACGGTGATGGCGGCGCAGGATGGGGAGGGGCGAGGAAGGAAGGCAGCCATCTGACGGGAAGGAATCTGGTTCCCCCGCCGAGGTGAGAACCATATATGAATCCCTCAAGGCCGACGTGTAAGTAGGATGTCTGAAGGATGTAGAAAAGAATCCATTGCTCTCCTCGACTCTTTGGTTTTCCCCAAGAAGAAGCATTCTCTCTTCCTCTCCCACATATCTCCTATATTGTTACATCTTCGTGTAAGGCCACTGCACTACCCCAGACTTCCATCATCAACCATGGCGCGGGTAGAAGTGCACCACCTCCACCCTACCAACTGGGAATCAGACCCAGAAGAAGAAATCTTCCCCCTCTCCACGCTGGACTACCTCTCGGGCCAGATCTGGTGCAACTACGTCCTCTTCTTCAAGCTCCCCTCCGCCACCCCAGACTCCCAGTCCGAGCTCATCACAGTACTCAAGGCCGGCCTCGAAAGGACCCTCTCCCAGGTTCGCCAGCTACCCGGCGTCCTCACAAAACACCCCTCCGGCTCCGGGCTCTGCTGGCACAAGAAGAGAGAAGACACCGTCGAGTTCCACGTCCAATGGCTTGACAACGCCGCCGCCACCGGCAAGAACAAGAAGTATCCCACCTTCGCGGACCTCGAGAAGCAGCACTTCTCCTCAAAAGCCCTCGGGGACCCCAAAACGTGGTCCGTCCACCCCTTCAAGGGCGGCCAGTGCCCGGAATCCCACTGGACGAGCCGGCCCAAGGCCGCCGCCTACAAGGCCACCTTCATCCCCGGCGGCATGGTCTTCATGATGCACCACCACCACTTCTCGGGCGACATCATGGCCTGGTCCGGCCAGCTGCACCAGCTCGCCGAGAACTGCAACGCCATCTGGGCCGCCCGCGGCACCGGCTCCGCGCCCAAGTTCCCCGCCTGGGACCCCGCCTGCCTCGACTTCTCCCTCACCACGAAGCCCGACCTTCCGGCGTCGCAACAGGTCGACGGCCCCAGCGCGGCGCCCGAGCGGAACGCCGCGTACCGCCCGTCGAAGCGGCTGCTCTTCCACCTGCCCAAGAGCAAGATGGCGAAGCTCAAGAAGCTCGCCGCCCCGCCGGACGAAGACGGCGAGGGCAGGTGGATCTCGAGCTACGACGCGTACACGGCACACATCTGGCGCGTGCTTTCGAAGCACAAGGCGGCGCTGTACGAGCCGGACCTGAAGGAGGCGCTGATCTGGGGCGAGGCGGTGAATATGCGCCCGCGGTTCCGGGACCCGGTCGTGCCGGCGCGGATCCAGAGTAACTTCATGTCGGTGGCGGTTAGCTTCCAGAGCGTGGTGCCGACGATGAGCGGCGAGGAGGTAATTTCCTCGGCGCCGTTTTGGAAATTAGCATGGTACGTTTTTCATCTCTGCTTCCCTTGATGCTTGAAATCTTTGCTAACAACGCTGCTCCAGGTACATCCGCCAGCTCACCAACACGGTAACACAAGACTACGTCAACGCGATGCTGGCCTCGCTCGCGCCGATCCGCGACAAGACGACGCTCTTCATCCGCGGCGACGCCTTCCACCCGATGACGACGCTCTTCACGGACTGGCGCGACACGCGGCCGTGCGAGGCGGACTTCGGCTTCGGCGCGCCGTACGCGTTCCGCTGGCTGTTCGAGAGCGTGCAGACGGGCATGTTCGTAACCTACCCGGCGCGCGTCAACGGGGCGCCTGCGGGCGCGGACGAGGGCACCGAGTTCAGCCTGCCGGTCGAGCGGGAGGTGGCCGCGGCGCTGCTGGCGGACCCGGAGTGGAGCGAGTACTTTGAGTACCGCGGGGTTGAGAACGATGTCGATGATGTGGAGGGCGCCGAAGAGGAAGAGGAGGAGGAGGAGGCGGTGGCGGAGGTGGTGAGGGACAGGTTGAGCAAGGTGGAGAGGGATACGGTCGTGGTGGTCAGGGTCGTGGCGGCGCGGTGTCGCAATGCTTCTGTCCGCGTGCGGGATGTTTGTGGCTGGCTGGTTACGGTGTTCAGGAGGGTCATGACGAAAGGATTGTGAGCGGGCCTGCTTTCTTCGTCTTTTGTGTAGGATACCTATCTGGTGTGGTCTTTTGTCTGATTTTCATATGTAGAACAAGCAGGCGGTTGGAATTAACAAACAATAATCACTATCAATAAGACTTACACCACTCAAAAATGTGACAGAAGCGCGTGATACTTAAGCCTGGAAACTCTGATGGCCAAAAAGAAAGCAGGAGGGAGGAATTGAGCCTCACGCGGGGGTCGAACCCGCAACCTTGAGATTAAGAGTCTCACGCTCTACCGATTGAGCTAGCAAGGCCTGCGAGATATTGATTGTTGACGATGGCCGGCGTGCGAGGAATGAAGAGCCAAGTGGAGCGGTAGGGCTAGAGCTGGGTGAGTGGGAAAAATCTTCATCGTGGAATCGCTTCTTGTTAAAATTTCTCTCGTGAACTAGTGGGTTGGCCCCGAAAGCATGGGCCCGTCCGGGAAGGATAACTCCACCCGGCCCCGTCTCCCGGCTCCGACGGACCCTCACTACGGCTTCCTGCCGTACACCACGATCCTGTCAAAGTCAGCACCAACCATCACATGAACCACCGTTACACTCACATGGGCCAGTACGCATGGATACTCCGATCTCCAACATCCTTCCTCGTCTGCGCGACGAGCACATTCACCTCGTCCGCCTTCCACGCGAGGCCCCTCGTCAGGAACGCCATCAGGAACCCCTGCAGCCCGGTGGTGATGTTGTCGTAGTTCCACGCGCCGAGCTCCTTGAACTTTGCGTGGCGCGGCCAGGTGTTACTGGGCCACTTGAAGCAGATCTCGGCGACATCCACAAAACCCGCGGCCTCCATCATGGGCTTGAGCGTGCTGAGCTCGATGAAGGCGTGGTCCATCTTGGCGGCGGCCTCGCCCAGCAGGGCCATCGACTTGTGGAGCGCGTGGTCCGGGGTCAGGGTGCCGTCGTCGGAGAGGGGGAGGCCGAATTCCTGGAGCTCGAGGTAGCCGCCTGGGTTGAGGTTTCTGCGGGGGGCGTGTGAGATTTTGGGGATCAGATGTTGGAGACTGTTGGAGACAGGCAGGGGGGGGCATTTACTCGTAACATTGGCGCAGGTATTCTTCCCATTTCGAGATGGATGAGTTCATCATCCGGGAGTGGATGTAGTCAAAGGGGCGGGAGTAGGTCCAGCTGTCTTCGATATCGTCGATCTCGAACTTGACGTTTGGCGGGACGCTGGAAGATGTTAGCGGAGACCGGAAAGTGAAGTCTCAATAGCACATACAACTTCGGCTGCGTCGGAGAGAGATCGACACCAATGACCTACAAACAAACAAAGGTCAGATCATATCAAAGAGGGCGCTGCTGGATTGCCTACCTCCGAGCCTGGATGCTCGTCGCCGTAGTCCATAGCCCAGATACCCGTTCCCGTTCCCAAGTCAAGAACACGGCCCGGGTTGGCGTCAGCCTTGTTGGGCGGGGATAGACCGAGCAGACCGTCAAAGGAGAGGTAGAAGATATGATGCTGAAGGTCTCAAGACAATGTCAATACGCTGCCCTACAGCAGGCTCAAGGCGGGTTCGACAATACCTAGTCGCTCGTTCTCTTCCTCGTCATTGGGGAAGTGGTATTCTCGACAACAATCAGCTCACTCCTCGCCCATCCTGCCGGACTACTCACTTCCATCTCGGAACCTGTGATAGGTGCGGCCGTTCTCCTTGCGATAGTCCAGGATCGAGCTGTTCAAGCTCGCCGTCGTCGAGGTCCCGTCCTGTCCCACCCGTCAGTACCTTCGCCGAGCGCACAAGCAGTGAGATTCGCACATTGGTATCGCCCACGGCCGAGTCATTGTCGTTGAAGTCGTCGGGCTCTACAACGTCAGCCTGAAGTGCCGCCATGTCGACAAGCTTCCGAGTCTCGCAATCGCAGCAACGCGTGTAGGTGAAGAGGTGCCGTTGTACGCAGGTCTAGTCAGGTCCAAGTGTGACGGACTGCGGGTCTGGCCTGGCGATCGGTGAGGTGAGCAGAAATATCACGCTATCGACATCTCTTTCTTCCCCGCACAGCCATGTCTTTGATTAGACAGTTGGCCGGGGCTGGGAGGACCCTTTCCTGAGCGACTCATGAAGAGGGGCCGATGGGAGGAACAGGCGGTGATTGACCACCACCCCGGGCTGTCATCTGCAGGCATTGCGGTCCCAGGAGCCAGGTCACTGACACAAATGATTTGCAGATGACAGCGGAAAAGGTCCAGGGTGAGCCCCATCTCGGACCGGTGAGTTTGGACGGTGACAGAAGTGGCGGTCGATAGTCTGGCCCAATGAGGTGTCTGCAAGACAGAGACGGATCGCGACCAACGACTGTTCTGAGCTCCAACAGCTCCAACTTTGGTTTTGTGACAGGTTGATAGGATTGGAGAAGTCGCAAGCAGGCGAAGACGGAAGCGGCATAGCATGGCCTGCTCGATGTGCGTGATGGCCAATCGTGAGATGTCTGCCAGCAGTTGGAATGCAGCAGAGACATGGCATGATTCCACCGAGCGCGCACATCGGCACTAATTGGCGCATGTCTTGAACCTTGTCAGTTGTGCGCCGCAAGCCTCCACGGCCGGCTCAATCGCTCGATCGAGACCGTCGCCTGAGCGGGCATCCAATGGCTGGGTCCTGTTGGTCATCGCAATGGCGGAAGAAGCTCCGGGCAAACTAGCTTGAAGAGGAATCAGTTTCGACGACGGGACGGCGTCGGAAGAGACAGACATTGGCAGTCCGTGTGCAAGACCTCGCCAGTACGGTCACCAATTGATTCATTTCGAGAAGGGTTTCCATCGTAATTCTTTCGACAGAGGCTCAGTAAAGCCATGCCTTCGCAAGATGCCCGGTCGGAGATGGGGCCGAACTGACCTCACCGCCTCGTCGCTGGCCACGAAACGCTGAGTTCTTGAGATCGAGGTATCGGCACCGGTGCGTCCTCACACAGCACCTAATACGATCAGCTGCTGGAGCTTGTGTGCGATCTCGTAGACGCTCAGTCAGCATTTCTGCGTTCCCCGGGAGTTCCAAAGGCAGCCGGCGGTATTGGAACTGCGGCTGCTGCTTGCTTTCCGGATCTCCGGACGACGAAGAAGCGACAAGCGAAAGCGGGCATTCCGACGAGAGAAAACACATTGATTCGAATAGATTGTTGGAAATGAGGCTGGTTCTGATGGTATCGCGCTGCCAGACCCAAGCATTTCGATTGCTGTCGACAAGTGTTGGTGGTGTTCACTTGAACCCAGCTGAACATACTGCCTGTCTCAATTGCTTCGTGGCCGTGGACCTACCATCAACCGGCCGCGGTCAATTTGTGGACTTCGCCGAGTTGTGCAGCTTGAACATGATTGCCTTCGAGGCAGATACCGCATCCATGTGAGTATGGTTCTGGGGCGTGTTGGCGTCTCCGGCGATGACTTCACTCGACGCATCGCTGGGAAGTCCTCAGTTAAACCGCGACAGTCAATGAGCTGACTTGGGCCACATTGAATGAGCAGAGGCTGCGGGATAAAGCGAAGAGTACGTCAGCTGCAGGTGGCCCCTGGGAGAATGCGACTTTGCCCATTCATCCATGTCCAACACGCAGGATTGTCGTGGTTGGTGTCGCAGAACCTCGCCTACCAGCGGTGAATCCGTAATGTCGCCAGCGTTGTCTTTCGTCTTGACACACAGCGATGGTTCCCGCATCGCTGATGTTAGGTGAAGATTGCGAAGTCTTCATGATCGACATGTCGTGCAAAGAGGCGTTGAGGATGCAACATGGCGAGTCACGTCGAGAAACATGTTTCTGTCGATGAAGTTGTAAGAGTCAGTCGCTGCTCAGTTGTTGCTCTGTGTCTTGATCACTCAGGGGCTGATTAGATGAGATAAGCAGCCGCAAAGCCAATCAGTGATCCAAGAAGACAGGGCATCCATCCCCTGGAGCTGCCAGCTTTTCCTGTTGAGGGCCCCTGTTGCTGCGAGAAAGTCAATTCCGCGCTCACAGGGCACTGCTTGGTCTTTTTTCTGATTTACTCCGAGTCGCCGAAACTCTGCTGAACTTTTGGAGGATTGACGTTTGATCAACTTCATGATGCGCATTTCTTCATCGAGCTTCTTGGAGCAAACATCTTCACGATCGTTCTGACAAGCAAACACGGCACAATCGTTGCGCCGAACGGCAGATCCTCCCCTGTGCCATCATCCCCGACTGATGACGCTGCCGCCCGCCACCTCCCAGGATATCTCAAACCATCAACACAGGCATCGTGGGCATCAAAGCCGACCTCAGTGGAGCGTCCAGCGCGATCCTGTTGGCTAAGACCGGCAATTTCACCCCTTTTCAGCGAAGGATCCTCAAGGACATTCATGCTGCGAGGCGGACCAGACATGAACCAACCCGCACCATCTCCTCAAACAATCATCACTGCCTCCCTCCCACATTCCCCCTTGGGCCATGGATGGAACTCGGCTGAACTCGCCTGCCAATTCGGCCGAACTCCAGCGCAGGATGGATGGATCTCGCGAATAGGGGCAACTCCAGTTCAAACGACCTAACATCGGACAGACGGCACACCGAAGGCTGACAGCCGTGACAGCGGCCCTGCGGTTTCGCAATGCTTGGGCCCGGGCCCCCAAACGCAGCGCCCCAGACGAATGGCGAGCCGTCGTCGCGATGTCGCTCTGCACATCTGCGAAAATGGGGAAACCTGGGCCGTCGGAAGATCTGTAGCAAGGTCGACCGTCCTATCTCTTTTCTTCAATCGTTGACTAACAATTTCTTCTTCAGCTCGTCTGGGCCAGGGACTACTCGACCGTGTTTGGGCCCGTTTGCCGTTTTCCGATGTTTTGGGGAGCATGGTCTCATCCGAAACATTGGCCCGACAGGGACGGCCTCGTCTGTGACTTCAACCCCCCCGCCATCAGCCTCAACGACCTCACTGGCTGATTTGCTACCTTGCGCTATGTTCTCCATCTTAATTGTTACTGCCCGTGGTATCGTGCAGGTCAAACGGCAGAAGATCG